TTTTTTATTTTATAACTCATTTTAATTATTAAGATATTGAGAATGTATAATATAAATCCTTTTGTTCTTATGATATATCTTAACAATTAATAACTAGATTTTCATATTAAAGGTCTAAAGCATGAAAATCCAAAACTTGATTTTCCATGTTAAGGATCTTAATTGTGAATCAAGTCTAAGATATGAGAGTCACAACAAATCAGATGCAGTAGCATAGTTTTATTGGGTTTTTACCTCCCATCTCGTGTGAACAATCTATGAAGATCATGACCACTTTGGTTTTTTCTTTCCCCTTTTTGGAATGGTACCATGTGCAAAAGGAAATACATGGAAGGTGGGGTGGAAAGCTTGCTACTTTTTTTATTATTTTTTTCCCAGAAAAATAAAATTTTCCGGGGAAACAAACAAATGATACAGCAGCACCACAAATCTTGCACGCCTTCTTCTAACCCTGATTAGCTGCTTTTGTCTTCCCCCCATCCATCTGCTGCAAACATCACTTCCTCGGCCTTCTACCCAGCAATGGCGATGGCGGACCATGATCTAACTACACATCTCCTCTCTCCCCGCGCTTCTGATGAACCCCAAACCATCCTCACCGTCCATGATGATGACTCCGTCTCCAAGCCATCTGATCCAACAACAGGTCAACCGCTTCCTCTCAGAAACGGCTATCATCATCATCATCGGAATCACAATCACAAGAAGAACGACTTCTCTCAAGCTAACCACATCAGTGACGCCAATTCTTCTTGTAACCCATATGAGTTTATTGGGTCAACCGGGTTATCGGTGCCCGAGACTACCGCGGTGGATCCGTTTCGAAACGGGACGCCTCGGATTGAAGGGGTTTATGAAGTCATGAAGATTGTGGTGTGTTTGCCGATTGTTTTTGTGAGGTTGGTGCTCTTTGGGTTGTGTTTGGCTGTGGGTTATGTCTCCACCAGGTTGGCATTGGAGGGTTGGAAAGACAAGCAGAACCCAATGCCCAAATGGAGGTGTAGAATCATGTGGGTAACTAGAATTTGTGCTCGTCTCATCCTCTTCTCTTTTGGGTAAGTCGGATTTGCCTACTTGTTTTTTCTTCTCTTTAGTTTGTTTCATAAATCTGGATTTCTTCTTTTTTTGCAGAATTCTTTCCCCTGTTTTTTTATTTTTGGTTAGCTTGGTCGATGAAGTTTTTGGGTCAAACAAAAGATGATGAATAAGAGAATTTTATCTATTAGTATAGTTTCCCATAACATTTTTTTTTTTAATTTGTTTTTG